TGGCCAGTCCTCAAATTGGAAGAGTTGAAAGCAAAGAGTACTACTCGTGGATGCGAGGCCACCATGCTTACAAGGACATTTTCGAGCCTGTTATTGGTACCACGCTCACTTTACAGCGGGAACCAGAAAATGCAAAAGATCCGCATGTTGTTGCTTTTGTAGAAGATACTGGACCCATTGTTGGCCATATCCCATTAGCTTTATCGAGAATTGTGTCGTCTTTTTTAAAAAGGGCTATCCACAAGGAAACAGCAGAAATCTGTGGAAAACGGATCAATCGAGGATCTGGCTTGGGACTGGAACTTCCAGTTATTTATAAGATTTACGGCGGAAGGAAATATTTGGACAGACTGGACGAACTTATTCATGGCAGCGAGACTGCAAAGAGGGACTTAAGAGAAAAAGACAAAGACAGTCTCAAAACAGAAAAAATAGACTTTCTATGTGTGCAAATATTCCAAGATGCTGCTCGGTGTCCGCTATAACGAGAGAGAAAACAATAAAATTGTGACGTTGGGACCGAATAAAGTGTCCGTAAGTCCGTAGTAGCGAGAGTCCGTAATAGCGGGAGTTTATTTCAGTCAAACGTTTGTAACTTTCGCCGGGGATTTTGCTGCTGTCCGTAATAGCGGGGTGTCCGTAATAGCGAGGTGTCCGCAAGGCGGGAGTTGACTGTACATAGACATAAGTAATCAGTCTACAAATGAGATATACCCACCAAAAAGCCAAATTGATAACCAAAAGAACAGCCGAACATCCATTAGTAACCGATCGAGGCAACGAACTCCCTCCAAATAACATTGTCGATAATTGTTGTCTTTTATTTCTGGAACCGACCCACGCCGGAACAAGCCAGTTTAACATGAATGTTTCCCGATATAACAGGTAACTGATGCCCGTTTTCCGGGAAAACCTCGTCACGAGGACGGACCGAGGTGGATCACAAGACGGCAGATTCGGACCTCGCCCGTAAATTCTTCAACCGTAAAATCATGCGCGAAATGATAAAAATATAAGCCATATACTAATACTATTTTTATGGCACTTAAGTGTTATATCACTTACCAAGTTTAATACTAAATGACGTTCTAAAAGAAAGTTAGAAAATCCGGTTAGTGCAGACCGGAAAAGGGACCGGAAGCCGGGTTCAAATAATGTAGGTCATTTTTCGTAGTAGCTTATATACAGTAAAAAACAAAGGATACTCAGAAGGCGTGGTTGCTAAACGTTCTGTTCAGAGTTGCAACTTGCAAGCAAGAACAATTTAGCTGTTTATAGGCTATGTGACGAGAAAATTTAAATGTTAAAGGGTAATTCTTGCAAGCTATGCATCCCTCTTTGGCGCCTCATCTTCATGGCGACTGCCTAGAAATTATACAGCAACTGCATCGCTGTCACGAACAGGTTAGTAGTTAAACGTGTTGCGCTGTAAACACGTGCCTGCTTGGCCATGTTCTTGTGATGTATACAAATTTTTTTTTCGCCTTTCTTTGCAGCATCCTGTTGGGAAATTCCTAGGCGAGTGCAATGATATCAAAAGAGCATTGAACAGATGTTTAAAAGAGGAGGTATTTAAGTCTTTTTTATCTGATATCCATTTCTCTTCATTAGTTGAGAGGAGATGTGTTATGTAATTCTAACTGTGATTGTGAGGACGAAATTCTCTGGTTTTGTCATATGGTAATATTTGTAGTAGAATTTTTCTAAAAAGAGGTTTTTTAATTTTGATTTTGAACATTGTCAGGGGTGTGAATGATAAATCAGTCAATAAATATGTTTATAAAAATTAATAATAATGAATAAATTGAGTGGTTGTTCATCCAGCCCCGACTGAATTGAGTAACAAAGTGTGACATAACAGAAATGAGAATTTGTGAAATTATGGGATTTGTTGTCATCCTCTATGAGACCAAGATGAAAAATGCTTCTGTACCAAAAATCAGTGTGTTTGCACCAATTGACAGTGAGATACTACAATCTTAGACAAAAACCTTGAAACACTTTGGAAAATTCTGCTCCCTTTTGTTTTCCCCCTCCCTTTTGCAATGTTGTTGTAGCCACGCAACTTTGCAATAACATCTCAACATTGCAGGGGGAAAGGGATGTGCATAGGTGTTTCAGGGATTTTTGGCGAGGATTGTGTGAGGTGTAAAAGGCCATCTGGTTATCATTACACGCTATTCAGACGTGGCGGCATGCTCGAAGAAACAGCAAGCGTGACCTATAGCATAAGGTGTTTTGATTTTAAGGGCTTTAAATGTATGACGAGAATTTCTTTCTTGGCAATCTTTACCGCTCAAATTTTCGAGAACTGTTTCTCATTTCAAGAGAAAAAATTACAATACCAACTTTATTCAGAACAGGGAGCTAACCAAGAAGACAAGGGTTTGGCCAACATTACTAATTTCCAACAGCGGACCCAATGCAGTCAATGCAGAATTGTCTAAGACATGATATCAATGAGAACTGATTTAAATCCAATGGTGAACATATTTTAATTAGTAAGTGGAGGCTTGCATGCCAAATGCGAGAGAAAAGTAATTTTTCACAGAACGGACAAAATGGAAATGAAAAATACAATTCTTAATACCTGCAGTATAGACAAGAAAAAATGTAATAAAACTCGATGGATAACCGTATGCAGCGCCGAATGGAAATTCAGGAAATTCAAGGAAAGAAAACAAATTAACCCGATACTGAGCAACTCACTGAGTTCTATTTAAATAGAACTCGGCCCGATATAATTGCGTGATGCATCTGTTGCGTACTGTAAACAGTCATCGGTTAACCCCCCGTGTNGTATGCAGCGCCGAATGGAAATTCAGGAAATTCAAGGAAAGAAAACAAATTAACCCGATACTGAGCAACTCACTGAGTTCTATTTAAATAGAACTCGGCCCGATATAATTGCGTGATGCATCTGTTGCGTACTGTAAACAGTCATCGGTTAACCCCCCGTGTTAACACCACGGTTTACCGTTGTTTTTTGCTGTTATTCTGTTTCAAATGTGTGTTTTGTAGCTTAAAAAACGGTTTGATATGAAGTTAACTAAAATTAATATCCAACCCAACTGTTAAGTTCAGATCTGGCCACAGCGTGAATTTCAGGGTTTTTACAACAGTTAACCATACTGTGTAATAAAATAAAGATGTCAACAGCGTTACTTTCATATTTAACAACGGTAAACCATTGACCCTTTTCTCCTCGTGAGCAGACCGCAGTAGAAAGTAACAGTCGTACACTTTGGAAACAATGCTGTTATTAAAGACGTTACGTGTCTGCATTTGTTTGCAGATATAAATACGTGCTGCGACTTTTTGAAATCCACTGACACCGAAAAAACCTAATGGTAAACCGTTTGGGTAAACCGTGGCCTGTGCACATTACACAGCACAAGCATAACGGAATTAATTTGGGGCAAGTCCCATTTCAATAGAAATACTGCCAGTTCTAAGTGACCTGCCTAACATTTACCTTCAGAAATTACTCTTATCAAGGAAAAAATACTTCTGTAAATTGGCTGTTCTAGCAAAGACATTTCTTGTGCTAAATCTATGCAGGTCCTAGCACAATTACACTGTTCTAATGCGACAGAACAGCTCACAACTGCAAATTCTGCTCGAATACACTCACTCCCTTTCAAGTGAAAATTTCTTTTCAACACAACTCTTCTCCTTAGACACTTCACCTTCTCCTCTCACATTGAGAAAAAAAAAATCCGCATAATTTATCGAACTTCAACAAACGTGTACATCATCATTACAATAGATGTTACAGATGCAAGGCAGGCGCGTAGTCGCCACTAAAAATGTTTAAGTCTTATTTGGCATTTCTTGCGCACGCTCCGAAAATTTCCCGCCACTTCAGACAATCTTAGACAAAAACCTTGAAACACTTTGGAAAATTCTGCTCCCTTTTGTTTTCCCCCTCCCTTTTACAATGTTGTTGTAGCCACGCAACTTTGCAATAACATCTCAACATTGCAGGGGGAAAGGGACGTGCATAGGTGTTTCAGGGATTTTTGGCGAGGATTGTAGCATCCCTATGTTCTGACAACTGCATGCAAATCCTTCAAAGGCCAATTTTAGAGGATTTGTATGGAGTCTTAAATAACTATCTCTGTGCACGTATTAGGTATAAGCAGCAGGTCTGAGAGTAAAACCTCACCAAATGCTTACATGTAAAAGTAAAGGGAGAGTGGCACTATACTGGCCCAACAACCAACGTGTACCATCTCTGATCACAATAATTATTGACTCTATCATTAGTCCGGGTAGTAAGCATTTCCACGCAAGTTATTGCACATCTGCAAGAGCTTTCACAATAACTCAAGTGGATGAGTAATAACTACGGCTGAAATGGTTGCTACACAGGCTACTTGCCAATTCTGATCCACACTTTATTTCAATAATAATTTAATATTGTTAGTTTTATACTTGACTATATCCCCTGGGGTGACAGGCAAGGCTGCATGTAGTAATCATGATGCTAAGAACATGATGTCTCCAAAGGAGACAGGTCTTACTCATGCAACATTTATGGTTTTTTTACATTGTTCCTTTCTTTATTACAGGATTTAAGAAAAAGAAGGAGAAACCAAGAGGACGCAAAAAGAAGGAGAAAGACATTACAAGATTTGTGTTCAGAAAAACAGGAATAAGCACTAGGATTTGTCAACAGAGTTAAACATCAGAGATGCCTCATTCATTTACAATTCAAGTAAGATAAGAGATGTTGGCATTCAGATGATAACCTATTTACAAATTACCTTCTGAAGCATTGCTCTTTCTAGATGGCATGTTTAATTGTCAAAGTACTCTCTTTGACATTTTTATGACAATTTTTGTCAACAGTACAAATAACGGCAGAACATTCTGAGTACCTTTAAAGTCATGCCAAAGGGATTACTATCAGACTGCTGGAACCTTAGCATGTTTTGCACTACTAAAATGGATAAATTGTGAGGAGCATTGTCATGAATCATACTTACCAGTAACTAGTACGAGTCACAATTAAAAATGAACAATTTTTGTTACTAGAAATTGGATTTCTTTTTGTGATTACTTAGTATGAAAATGGTAATTAGTATGAAAGTCTGAAATGTTACATTTACAGTATTACCATTGTGAATACTGTACTTAAAATTTGAAGCATGTCATCTTTATAGTCTGTTAATTTCAACAGATCTGCTTATACAGATACATGTACAGAAGAAAACCCATTCCAACAATTTTGGGTAACAATAATTATTGTTGGTCAGCAACAAATCCCAAAATATTTGGTTAAAAACTAGTTTTGTTAGACCCTAGTAATGTTAGTTGTTGGATATTCAGCAATGTTCTTGCACTGTTGAGTCAATTCCTGGGGTAGCAATATTGAACATTCCGCTGAAATAACATCACAACATTGTTGCCTGATATTTCTTGCAAACAACAGCAACTGTAATCTTCAATCATAGGGATCCCTAAAGCTCTGAAACTATAAAATCCAGGGAGCATAGCATGTTTCTTTTGTGAATGGCTTACGTCACCAGCAGGGGTCATCTAGCACTGCTGGAACACAGCCTGTTGTTGTGTGAAAGACTCAGCTTAATATGATTGACAGGTATCTCGATCCTCACCACAAAAAATAAACGTAAATTGAATGTTATTGTTCCTTAATTAATTCCTAATGATGTGGCAGTCCATTGATGCAAAATTGATTTCGACAAAGAAAAAGAATAACTTGGAATACACTTCAATATCTTGATTGATACTGGGTACCTTCTTTGAGGTTTAATCTACTGAAAATGTTATTGTAGTCTCTACGATAACTGAGGAGCCAAAGAGAAGGAATCAGTTTACTGCAACAAGTGGAAATTAACTGAATTCACTTTGCAAGCTTCAACCCAGAGTTCTTTTAAGTAATGTTAACATTTTCCTAGCAGTCATTTCAACATGTTAACTCGAACCAAGTAAAAATTCTTCCACAAAGAAGGGCTGGCAAAACATTAGTTGGGCTTTTGTGTTGTTTTCTTTATAAGTAGCCCAATGGTAAAGCAAAGTTTCATGGCTTGTTAAGAAAAATAACAGACTGAATGCAGTTTGGGGTAGCTTCATGGAGCCCCACCAGTGGCTAGTAAACTGAGTTAATTTCTTGCTCTTTAGGCAGCCGAGCTGATTTGGTTTTCTTTTGTGTGTCTCACCTTGTGCAAACATAGTACAGCAATGGGGAGACATGTGAACTCTGTCAGTCTGAATCGTAGTATTGAGGCAGCCTATAAACTCAGCATTTTTACTCTGGGTTCTTGCATCCTGCCATGTTGTGTCTCTTTCAAAGGTTTTTTGTTGTTTTTTGTCCATTATGCTTGCAATACTATTTACATTTTCCTTTTTTAATGCTTATGAATAGAACACGGAGATACTTCTGGGTTTTGAAATGGAGAAAACTGGGGAAAACCTGGAATACTGAGCAAAATATTTCACCCAAATACTGGGTCACATCTTAATACGGGATACTGATAATGAGATCTGTTGGGCGTCCCCACCTCCCCCTCCCCCCTCCTCTTTACTGGGATACGTAACATGAGCGTTTTAAAGGCTCGTTGAGGTAAGGCAGTAAAATAATATTCATTATTAGCATTCACTGTACTTGAATGACTCACAGTCAATCAGTTGATGCCACCCTTGTTGGAACTAACTGAGTTGTCCTTATCAACAGAATAGAGTAATTTCTTTTACCATGAATAAGTTCGTCAAAGGATTCTTGTCTTTGCTGGTAAATGGAGCGAGTTTTACTCTGCATATGCTACTGCTAGCAGGGATTGGCGCCGATAAAAGTGGTGCGTGCTGTAACATTTTTATTTATTTACAATGATTGATTTGAAGTGCTGGGACGATGAAGTGTTTGAATTTTGTTTTTGTTTAGACAGAAATTTTTTGTCCGATTAGAAAAAAGAACACAATTTACAAACATTTATTTCTTGTTTTACTACTGTATTTTTGTTCACTTATAAACCTATCGACTTGAAAATGGTCATCTTATTTTGGTTTCGCTTTCTTTTAGCCTGCGTGGCAGGCGCAAGAAGGGGAGGGAGAGGGGGAGGGAGAAAAGCACTATCCCCTACCCCTTTCGATGCCTGCTACGCAGGCTAGCTTTCTTTAAAAACTTTAGACTCTTGTTGTTATTCTATATTAATTATCAAAAAGTCCATCCGAGGAAGTAACCGCTTTTTAAAAAACATTGCGTGATTTTTCACACTTTTTATCTAATAAGCGACAGGAAAAAGAAAGGAATCGAAAACTTCATTCATGTTCGGTGCAGAATAGATTTTTTTTAACTTTTTTGAAACAAAATATGGTCCGTTTGCAAAAGTAACTATACTTTCCGGAAGATTTGCCCAGCTTTTTGGGTGTTTTTTTTTTCTGTCCTGAAACAGCAGTGGAAAGAATAGAACCGTTATGACTGAAACTCGAGAACTCAATATGTAAGTTGATTCATGGAGTTAAGTGCTACGTCTTCTCTTTGGAGCACATAATAGACTGACACCTTGATGTGGCCACGATAGTTCTGTATTTGTTTTTTAAGTCACAGTTACTTCAACTCGTGTGACAAACTAAAATAATCAATCTAGTCCCTCTAGCTCTTTTGGCTACAAAATGCCAAAATGGTCAAGAGCTTATCAAAAGCAGATCGAATTTTAAGGCAAAATGTCGCTTTGGCTCTTTTTTACACGTAGGTCTGTACTGAATTGGTGGTAGGTCCAGGCCCTCATATCTATTCAGGAAGGGTTTTTTGTTTAATGGCAATGGCTTCCTTGACTCTGCGCCTGATGGTGTTGTTCGGACAATTACATTCATTGGCCAAACCGCCAGGTCCCTTCCCTTGTCCCCGGATCAAAGAACACCAGTCCCCTAATATTCTGCCTTTTTCGAGCATTACCAGGCCACAGGTCACAACATCAACCCACACAATGTAAAAGTACTACCTGACGAAAACAGCACCATCAAGCACAGAGTCAAGGAGGCCATTGCTATAAAACAAAGGAACCCCCCCTGAATATGGATGAGGGACTGGACCTACCGGCAATTTACAGTCAATCAATCAATCAATCAATAATCTTTATTTATACACGATAAGTATTTAAAGCGACGCTCCACTTGTGGGGTCGTGTCTAAATAATTAAATAAGATAACTAATGAATTAGAAAATGAATAGGATATACACCAGCTAAAATCATATAGCTACTTACTACTTACAAGTCTAAAACGATAAAAGCTTAAAATTCTAAAGTACAAGGTGGTACTCTAGTATCGACTAATTATTAACACTAATTATACTTAAAATCTTCTTCCCTTCTGGGAGGAACGCTGATGAAGTCTGAGTGATTCGGACGAAATATTCGTTTCGTACCTTATTTTTTTCGCGAATGGAATTTTCTGCTCTAATTAATAATAATAATAATAATAATAATAATAATAATAATAATAATAATAATAATAATAATAATAATAATAAAAGAAGAAGAAGAAGAAGAAAAGGGCAATTTAAGTACCTACTAGTTTTCGCTGAAATGCCTAAAAACGATGGTACTTACATTTATACAATGATACAATTACAATACTTGTAATCTGGATCTCTCGTTAAGAACAAGTACTTGCCTAAACTAAATATTGTAAAGTTTTGCGTGATTTTGCAAAAAATGCTATATTCTGCAAGCGTCCCGGCGCTCGTACACATCGGCCATTCTCGTCACTAGGGCCACGCCATCGGTTGGCTTACGAGGACCACTTAAAAAAACCGACGGGCCCTGAGGACGAGAATGTACACATACGAACAGAGCTGCGCGCGCGTATTGAACTCGCTAGAGCCCATTTCGCTCATATTTTCCACAGGCGCAGTCAAGGCAACACCCACCGCCCCACCCACCAAAACACCGCAAATTCGCCAAACCACAGACGGCGATGATGATTTTGTGCATGGAATCATCAGTGGAGCCATCGTTCTTGGAATGATTTTGATGATTTACGCATGTCACTCATGCTACATTCGTTTCTGCCGTAACCGACAGGATAACGCAGGCGCAATTCTTCACTTGCCAAATATGGTGCAGTTACCGTCCCAGTTTCCCATCGGTCCTCCGTTTCTTCACAAAGATGATGGTATTACTTTAGTAACCCAAAACTGAACCACATTATTTTCAGTCAGTGGGAATGCAATAAAAAAGAGGAGAAATTCTTTTTTCCGGCCACAGGCTCGGCTGGGCCTCCAAGGTCGTCAAACGTTCGAGGTGTTGTGTGTTTTTTTCTGTTTGTTTCTTTGTTCTATTGACTGATATTTCATTTACTGTTAAGGGCAAGGGTGTATAAAAAACTCAGCTAACGTAACAAACTGCCCATTTTTCTCAAAGTATTGAGCTTCTTTCCGTTAAAAATTCTGTGCACTTGAGTAAAATTACGCATACCTATGGAAAATCATCACTTAAATTTGTACACTATTTATTGTGAACGTTTGTCACCTCTGCTAACATCGTCAAACGCATAGGATAAGTGGAGGTTGGAGTGGGTGGGTACCGCGTGCTCCAGAAGAGCGTTGAGTTTGAGACTGGCGTAGAAGGAAAGGAGTACTACTGTTTGAGAATTCCCACTATTACAAAGGGATAAGTGAAGGGTGGAGTGGGTGGGTACCGCGTGCTCCAGAAGAGCGTTGAGTTGGAGACTGGCGTAGAATGAAAGGAGTACTACTGTTTGAGAATTCCCACTATTACAAAGGGATAAGTGAAGGGTGGAGTGGGTGCGTACAGCGTGCTCAAGACGAGCGTTGAGTGGGAGACTGGCGTGGAAGGAAAGGAGTACTACTGTTGGAGACTTTCTACTACTATAAAGCTTGAAAACTATCAGTAATTTCACGGAACGCTAGAAGTACTTCTTACGATTAATTTTCTTAGCATTTCGCATAGAGTGTGCCGCGTAAGACGATTAGTGACTAATCAAATTTAACGAGGAGTTCTCACTTAAAAGCCGCCAAATCTTCTGGATACTATCCCCCCTCAAAGGATGCTATGACAAGGGGAAAAAGGGAAACAATGCCAGCCTTAAAGACAGTACAAATCGCACAGCAGAACTACAGTTTTTTTCAATCCAAAACTTTTAATAAATACTATATACAATAATACATACACAAGAAATTCACAGCTGAGAAAAATTGAGAATTTAAACATGGGAATTTTTGTACACTGTAGTATTCTTGCTTATGAAACTTGCGTTAGATTCATCCAAAAGAATGTGTTGCGTTTGCTGCCAAATTGTACTGAAGAATAACCGATTTTTTTAAGTCAAAAAGTGATAAATACATATTACAAAGATAACTGCAGCATAAATTAGGCTTAAATTGGACAATTTAATCAATTTTACACCATAAGAAATTCATTGCCGCTTATTGACTGGGCCGAGTATTAGAGTCAGTCGAAGGATTTCGTTCGTGTTGAACTTCTGAACTTCCTCTCTGCATACCAGACGGAGAAAGAAATCCGGGCATTACTGGCGGGTGTATGACGGAAGACATTGGACCACGAAGATGCGGATCACCTGGACTTGCACTTGGCAGTAGCGGTGCCTGCAGTGGGGCTCTCATGCGGTTTCCGTAGGGATAGGAAGAATATCCCGGGATTACTGGAGGCTGCGTGACTAAAGACGTAACAGGACCACGAAGATGCGGATCACCTGGACTTGCACTTGGCGGTAGCGGTGCCTGTTGTGGGGCTCTCATGCGGTTTCCGTACGGGTAAGAATACCCTGGGATTACTGGCGGCTGCGTGACTGAAGATGTAACAGGACCACTAAAATGCGGATCACCTGGACTTGCACTTTGCGGTAGCGGTGCCTGCAGTGGGGCCCTCATGCGGTTTCCGTACGGGTAAGAATATGCGGGGATTACTGGCGGCTGCGTGACTGAAGACGTAACAGGACCACTAACATGCGGATCACCTGGACTTGCACTTTGCGGCTGTGGTGCCTGCAGTGGGGCTCTCATGCGGTTTCCGGGGATAACTGGCGAGTGTGTCACTGAAGAAGTAACGGGACCACTAAATTGAAGATACGGATAACTTGGACTTGCACCTTTCGGATGAAATCCATACTGCGGGGATCTCATCGTTTCATGAGGGAGGAGGCTTTCCAGATTATCTGTCGAGAGGGTATGGGTTGATACGCCAGGACCAATGAAATAGGGATCATCTGACATCGTAATTTGCGGTTGCACTCCATGAAGACTTGCTCCTTGCATTCCACGTGGGGAAAGAAATCCCGGGATATCTTGCGGGCAAGTGACTGCGAAACCATCGAGATTTAAATCACAGGGCATTGTGTTTTGGGGCTGAACTCTCTGTTGTGGTGGATCCTGCATTCCACTCAGGGGAAGATGTCCAGAGTGAACAGGAGGGAGAGCAACTGTAGAAATGCCAGAACTGTGGGGATCTGCGTATCCTGGAATTGTACTTCGCGGTTGCCATGATGATTCCAGCAGCACTCTGTGACGGCGGGGATGTTCACCTAAGGGTGCCAGGCTGTGGCTGGAGAAATGTGACGTAGGAGTGGGAGCTCCTAGAGAAAATAAAATAAAAATTAAGATCCCATTAGTTAACGTAAAAGTACAGTGTAAACGACTGGTTTCTCACTCGTGGTCGTTTAAGTAGATTTCTCCTTTTCTAGCATTATACGCCCTCTTAGGTTATTGTACAATATTAGAAATTAAAGCAACGCCCACTTGAGTTGAGTATACACAAGAAAAAATCCAGTTTGGAGATATTAGAAGACAGACTGTAGAAGAAAAGTGCCTTCAGCCCCCAGTAGTTCAAAAGGTGAATAGTGCTATTCACTGGGTATCTCACTATCTAGAGGTTGGTTTTCACTAGCGACGGAGTCGAAGTCATAATCAGAAGCGTAGTGCTCATGATCTAGTGAAAACAGCGTTCCGATTCCACTTAGGTTCCGCTTATGATCTACTGAAAATCACCTGTCGGAGTCGGAAGTAGAAGCGGAAGAACTAAACCAACCACAGAGCGTGTGAACGTGCATAGTGATTGGTTTATCCTTCCGCTTCTACTTCCGACTTCGACAATCTTGTTTTCACTTGATCATAAGCGGAACGTAAGCGACGGAGTCAAGCGGAGTCGGAAGAAATGGAAACGTTCTGACTACGATTCCATCGCGCTTATGACTTCCGCTTACGACTTGATTGTTATTAGGTCATAAGCGCTCTTACGACTCCGCTTACGACTCCGACTCCGCCGCTAGTGAAAACCACCCTTAATGGATAAAGGTGTCGGTTTCTCAAATACTTATCCTCTGGTTAGTCATTTTTCTGGTGGATTATGATAGCGCTATTAACTATTAAAAAAGGGGCCTGTATCTGTGTATTGTAGTAAGGACGACAGGACTGTTTAATCAAACAGTGCAGCACTACGATAACTCCTGTACATTGTCTTATTGGTGCTCAAGTCAGTCACGGCGTTACTAGCTTATTAAATTGTAGAATTTTGTTTTAGTTGTAACATGGATGGAAACCTTACCAGCAGAATGGAGAGGCGCTGGAACTGGTCCTCCAGTTCCAGGATCGTGTGACGGCACGTCCTGAGTACTGGGGCGAGTGTCTCTCTGAAAAAGGGACCAAAGGCGGAATATTGGATATCGGTACGGAAACAAAGTAAACGTGTGATCTCCTGCTAACAATCATTTGACAGTTTTTAAGATCACTCAGCTAAGCGTATGATCTGGAAAATAATTAGCTGACCCTTTCTGTCAAAAGTTAACTCTCTCTAAGATGGATACCAGCTCCAATTGTCTGTCTTAAAGTGGTGTCTGTCTTACTAGTATAAAGAGTTTAGTTACGGTAGAATGATCGAAAAACTGCAGAAAAGAGACCAGCACCCGGTGTCCGTCTCACCGGCAGAGTTTTTAGTCTAATAGAGAGGTTGGTTACAGGGTTGAACGTCGAGTTATAGAACACGTTTATTGTTTCGGTATAACACGAAATTCATGCGTGATATAATCACGACTAATGACATGACGTAACAATCGTTGATTAGTAAGATCATTACTACTAGTTGCGAAACTTGAGAGACACCAACGGGTACGTGAATATTATTCTTATTTACGGTTTGCTTTAACATTTCTTGACTGATTGTAGTTCCTGTTGATATCTCTACGTAGATTTCGAATTTCTTTATATCTTCTGTATTTCTGTACATTTTGGACGAAATAAACCATGTGCAGTATTTGAAACCTTGGCGACTCGCAGCTAGCAGTACATTTATAGCCCCGCGAAGTTGAATAACTCTCCGTTCAACACGTTTTCACTGAGAAGGCGCCTGTTCCATGAAGTCTCTCTCGGCAAATATAAATCCTAGCCCATGATTAAGAACAATTTCGTGAATACAACCTCATTACCTCATTAACAGACAAACAATCCACCTCGGGCTCGTCCTGTGTGACTGTAGACAGGTCAGAACCNCACTCTCTCAACTCAGAACGCAACACGTGAAGCACAAAAAGACAAGGAAAAGTAATCCTGGCACATTTTGGATAAAAAGGACAGCACTTTTTCTCGCTTATAATAATTTTAAAACTTTTTTATTTTTTTATGTGTAGCCCCCCCCCCCCCCCCCCCACTGTTTTACTACATAATTTTAGAAAATCAGTGTTAACAACGCTCACTTTAGGTAACACCGGAAAATGTCTACATCGGAACAGGACAAAGAGGATCTTTTCCTTTTAAACTTCCTTAGTGACTATTTCAATTATTGATATGTCTTTCGTTTCTGTATATGGCAGCTAGGCCTGGTCCGTTAGTTAAATACTTATGACGGTTAGTAATACGTAGAGTAGCTTTTTGGTCTATAAACAAACTAATGAATCAACATAATCGTGGAAGTCCGATTTCTTTCATCAAAATTACGGACAAGATGTGACAACAGCAACTTGTCGCACGTCTACACCGCAATTATTAAAAGAAGGAAATCTCAGAAAAGAAAACACTGACGTCTGACCGCAACGAACTTATGTACAACTTCTTTTTAGTGCTCAGGGTGTTAATCGCCAATAGGTTTGTTACATCTGTGATTAGCAAGGCACGAAACTGTGGGGGTGGGGTGGGGTGTGTGTACGTGTGTGTGTGTGTGGGGGGGGGGGAGGGGACAATAAACCTTACCAGTAGGATCAGGGGGGGCTGGAAATGTTCCCACGGTGTCTTGATCGTCAGCGGGGAATGGTGAGTCGTGAATACTGAGGCGAGTCTCTGCCAGAATCTGTGCGGCGAGTGGTGAAAGAAAACAAGAGTTGATGATTCTGATAGTGGAGAGTGGCACTTGCCACGACTGGAACAGGCTAAGAGTTGACGAGCCAATAAGATGATTGAGCATGAAAGAAACTCTTCTGTTAGTAATGAAAACAAGACATCTTTGCTTAAAATGCCAAAAGTGCTCTACTACAGCAATAACGGTGAAATTTGAAAGTCAGTAAACATCACAAAGATCCACATTATCTACCAAAATCCGGCTTGTAAAAAAATTCACTTACAAAATTCCGGAAATTTTTTCAAAGTGCACTTAAAACGATTAAATCGACTTCCCGAACGCTAAAAAACGTGAGGTCGTTTCCAAAACCAGAGGTATTTCCGAAACTGATTGCAGTCCGTTGCAATATTGTTCGGACAGTAACGTCCAAACTTATTTGAAAAGCCATCGTTGTAAGAAAACCGTCTTGGTATGACTAGAAACTAAGACCAAAACTAAGAAGTGAGCTAAAAGCCTAAGACAACAGAAATAACTTTTTACTGTTAGAACTGTTTTGGTTTGACTCAGTTTTTATGACATCGCGACAAGAAAAAAACAAACAGCGTGAAACTACTATGATACAAAAAAAAATTTCTTGTGCCCCCAGTTTCAGCTTATAGGTGAAATCCTGAAAAGCTGAAGAAAGAACAACAACTTTCATATTAAAAAGTTTGTAACATAAAATAACTGATTCACAAAAACATCCTCAGTAAGATAAATCCTAAACGCCGTTTAATAATAATATTCAAGAAAGGCTTCGTGAATCCGGCCACGTATTACCTCATCAACAGACAAAACATCCAACTCGAGTTCCTCCTGTGTCACTGTAGACAGACCGGCAGAACCACTGCCGAGGAGATACGGATCGCTAACCAAGGATCCCTCATAGATATCTAGGGAGGAGTAATGCGGTGGATGCTGAACGGGCGCTGTAAGAATTGACACTCCTGCTAACATGGAATCAGCTGTAGAGGTTAAAAGGAAAAAATAATGATCCTAGAAGTTACGTGATGGCATACGTAAAGGTTAACCACTTTTCAGATTCATGAACTTCAACAACATTTTTCCTTTCCTAAGTTACGCCCCCTCGTTTTACTACACAACTTTACACAATAAATCTAAGCAACGCTCGCTCCAGTAAATACCGGAAAATGTCTACATAGGAACAGGAGATAGATGAACTGTTTCTTTTACACCTCTCGTTGCAGTTTATGGTAGCAGAGCGGAGGTCTGGTCCGTTAAATTTAACAAATATATTCCATGTTGCCGTGCGTCTGTTCAGTAACAGATCACAGATGACGTCAAACTGTGGTAAAACAAAAAAGTGACAAACGAGTCACAGTAGTAGTACTGTGTAGAGTGCCTTTTTGGTCTATAACCCGACTATTGAATAAACATAATGGTGGAACTCCGATTTCTTTCACCACAATTACGGTTATGAACCAGGGCGCTATTATGGAAAGAATGTGATGGCAGCAACTTGTCGTAACTCTACACCGAAATTATTAAATCTCACAAACGAAAACTGACGTTTGACCGCGACGAACTGATGTACAACTTCTTATTGGTGCAAAGGGGGTTACTCGCCAATTGGTTTTCTTACATCTGTGATTGGGAAGGGGGGGGGGGAGCTGAGAGGGGAGGGGCTAGGGGACAGGAAACCTTACCAGTAGGATCAGGAGGCGCTGAAAATGTTCCCACTGTGTCTTGTTCGTTAGCAGGGAATGGTGAGTCGTGAATACTGAGGGGGGGAGTCTCTGCCAGAATCTGTGCAAATGGTAAAAGAAAACAAGAGCTGATGAACTTTCCACTATCTGAACGTCTGCAATAGGCTAAGAGTTTATAAACCAATAAGATGATTAAGCAAAAAAAGAAACTCTTCTGTTAGTAATGAAAACAAAGCTATACAAAGACAAAACCTCAATCTACTGTTGACTGGTTTTCTGATCCAAGCCTCAAGCTCCATGTTTGCTTAAAATGCGTAAAAATGCTCCACTACAGCGATAGCGGTGAAATTTGCAACTCAATAAAAATAAAAAAGATACACATTTTCTTCTAAATCCGGCTTGTAAAAAATTCATTTACGAAAATCAGCAAGTTTTTTCAAAGTGCCCTTAAAACGATTAAATCGACTTTCCGAACGGTAAAGAACTTATGAAGGAAATTTCAGGTCGTTTCCGAAAACAGCCATCTTCGTAAGAGAACCGTTTTGGTATGACTAAAATTAAGATTATGAAGTGAGCTGAGTGCCTAAGACAAGACAAATAACTTGTCACTATTTGTAAGACATATATGCAACTCCACTGTTTTGATTTGATTCAATTTTTATGAAATCGCGACAAGAAAAAAAAAAACAGCCTGATCTACTATGATACAAAACACATTTCCTGTTCCCTCCGTTTCACTTATAAGTGAACTCCTGAAAAGCTGAAGAAAAAACCATACTTTTTTTAAACGCAATGTTTTTTTTTTGCAGTTTTTTTCCCCAAGAAATAATCAAACTCAGGAAATATTATACTCGATTCTCTTTTGCCAAAGTTGATGACCAACCTGTTGCCTTTGCGGCTGTGATTCATTTGATGCGTGAGAAAAGAGACTGGGGTACCACATTTTCCAATAGTTTTCTGATGGCCATTCACGTTCAGGCTTGGGATTCCTTTTAAAATCCTACAACAAATCAAAAAATGACACTAGCACTATTCAACTTTTAAACCAACGTTTAAAAGATCGAAACTGTTGTCTAGATTTTAAAACCTTTCTTTAAGTGATACGCAATTAAAGGGTAAAAATAACCCCAGGGGTTGACTACTATGTGAAGGGGGCGTGTCATATATGCTTATCGGACAACTAAAATTTTACCCCAATGTCCAAATACAAATTCTCCACACAAGTATCCATACATTGCCTTATAGAATTAGTTGAGAGAACTTGATAAAAGATCAAAGTACTTCTCCTTTGTTCATTATTTTATTACTTCTCCTAACCTTTTCTTTTGATAATGTTTTGATATTGTTAAGAGAAAATTCATGTTGATCACTGACCAATCTGAGTAAAGTTCAAGCTGATTCCACCCCGAAAAGAGGTCATTTCTTCAACACATAGTCAAAGTAGTACTATAGAAATTTCTGCTTGCGACAAAGACGTTTTTCTTCTTTAATTTAGTTATATTTAGGACTAAACAAGAGATTTTGCTGATTTTGCAATCCGTTCCGAGGCCTTATTTAGTTCAAAGTCTTAAAATCCGCATGCCATAAACAGTAATTTCGTGCTGAATGGTCTTGCGAGTACCGCTGCGCTAAAAAACTTTCTTGTGAGTGCCTCAAAATTAAGGCTGCTTTTCACTAGCGGCAGAGTCGGAGTCGGAGTCGTAATCAAAAGCGTAGACGTTATGATCTAGTGAAAACAGCGTTCGATTCCGCTCAAGTTCCGCTTATGATCTAGTGAAAACCAGATTGTCAGAGTCGGAAGCAGAAGCGGAAGAACCAAACAAATCACAAAGCGTGAGAACGTGCATCGGGATTGGTTTATCCTTCTGCTTCTGCTTCCGATTCCGACAAACTGGTTTTCACTAGATCATAAGCGGAACGTAAGTGGAGTCGGAAGAAATGGAAACGCTCTAATTCTTCTGACTCCGATTCCGGAGCGCTTATCACGCCGCTTATAACCTGAGATCAGGCCCAATTTTAGCGGTTCTCATGCACTCTCTCTAACGGCTACCGCTAAAAAAATCGCCTTGCCCGCCCGAATGCAATTTTTAAAGCAAAACGAAAACAGAGCTTCATCTCAGGTTACTCCGCTTACGACTCCGATTTTTGATTTTCACTAGGTCATAAGCGATCTTACGACTCCAACTCCGACTCCGTCGCTAGTGTAAACCAGCCTTTAGGTTGCTGCGCAAGAAGTTCCTGATTTTTCCTTGTCAACCCCAAATTTCCGAATTTTTGTGCCGTTTAATAGTGATTAGAAATTACCAACATACAGAAAAAGCAAAGGCCTCGCGAACTAAAGTTCAGTTGAAAAAAGGAGTTAAAAATACGAAAAAGAGGGGGAAACGACAAAACCAACAAAAAATACATCTGACTTCTTGGACGCACATCTAAAGGTGCTTACAGTTTAAAGACCACATTCTACTTTTCAACCCCTAAAATTTGCATGCAAGACTTTCAAAAAAGCAAAATCAAAAAAGAAACTAAAAAAATGTGCGAATTATTGAAACCTTGGACCGCTTTCTTGTATTATTTGGTCTGATAAAGATCTCACAGATCAGTTTTTCCTTAGTGGGGGTTGAGAATGGAGGGGGCAAAAAAACCTGCGTCTCGTCTGAAGAAACGCTTGCTGCGCTGCCAAACGAAAGGCGGGAAAATTCTACCACGTGGGTAGTTATATAACCAATCAGCTGTCGCCACGTCACAAGCACTCTCTCACGCCACTTTGCAAGATAGCCTGAAATTCATCCGATTGCTTCGAGTTGTTTCCTCCTCTCAACAACGTCTGAATCGACCGGCCGTTAATGCCGTACAGTAACGTCACTCAGTACCCGAAAAGCGGGTAGTGATTTTGATTGGTTGATTGTCTAAACATTCGCATAATTATGTATAATTAAAAAATTTTAGCGGGATTGTCTCTTGTATTCAGCAGATCGCATCCCTGGCATTCTTTCGTTTAGTTCAACCATTTCGATAAGCTTAATCTTTATCCTAAACAGCAAAATTGTCCTTGTCTTCGAAACTGAAACGCTAATCATTGCGGAGAGTCGGTAGGTTTTTCATTTAGAGCCGCTTTGTGGTTTCGGCGGCCGGTGAATCATTTTGTTTACGCGAAGTTTTCTGAGATCAATGTTCTAATTCGACCTTCTTGCTATTTTTACCGTCAAGTGTAATGATTCTGTTAGCTTTTCTTTCTTGTCTCCTTGGTTTTTTGCTTCGTTAAGGACCAAATAGCTTCGTTTCAATTAAACAAATCATTGTGTTTTTGAACTAAGTGTTCCGTGTGTGTGTATTTCATTGCGTGATTGCGACCGAGTTTGATTATAGAATTTAGTACAACCGGTTCAGAGTTGTACTGCATGCAGTTGATAGTTTGAACGTTAAACATGAATTACGATCGAAAAAAATAAAGCAGTTCTGTATCATGCAGGGACCGCGGAGCAAGGTGAAAAGTGGAAGGGCTGACAATTGAAAATAATTTTTTCATATTGAAAATCGAAAAAAGGAATAAAATCATAGTATTTGATTTGTTTCTGTCGCGTGACTTTGCATACTTTATCCAGTGTATTTGTTGCTCTTTATAGGTCGGCCAACATACCCGGTCAGTTCAGATTCAATGCAAGAAAAGACGCGATTACAGTTTTAGTATAGAAAATACTACACTGAAGTGATCTGAAAAATTTCTAACTATGGCCGTTCACTGTTCAAGTAATGTAATTCTTCTTGCCATCGAATATTTCATTGATTCGAAAGGAGAAACTGACAAAAGATAAAACTTTTATCAACTCAAAACAACTACTCTCCTTCGTTTGGCTTGAAAAAGCTAGTAATTTTCTTCATTTCGTCTGATAAAACTGATAAAAAACTCTGCCGGAGCTGGAAGTACACAACACGCTGCCGAAAGAAGCGAAGGGGTGGCCAAGGCATGGCGTTTGATCAAGGGGCAAGTCGGCCCCAGAGCACAATTACCGCGAAAAGCACAGGAGCCCCACAAAATGCCTGGCGTTTGAAATTAAGGAAAATACAGACAATATAGCGGAATATAGACGGAAAAAAACTTGTTTCAAGTCGTTTTTTTATTTTAATTATTTTTCTTTTTAGCGCAGAAAGTGGGGGCGGGGGCGCAAAAAAGTGGTGAGGCCCCGGCCCTACCAGCCCCTCCCCCTTCGCGGTCCCTGTCATGCAGACATTTCCAAACGACATTTCTCGGTTTGCCACGTGAAAATCGTGTTTTACTTTTTGCATGAATTAAAGCAAAGGTCAAGGAGTAGTGACGTCACTGGACGGCATTAACGGCCGGTCGATTCAGACGTTACTGAGGGAGTTATAACGACTCGAAGTCAGTCGGATGAAATTCAGGCTACTTTGAAAGACAGATTGTTGATTTTGTAGTTTGTTGTTCACTTCAGTTCAGTTTGCTCATCAAAGAAAACTTTCAACGCAAAAATTCTCAAGATGGACACAAAAAGAATAAGAAAACACCGCAAAATACCAGTTAAGAGAAAAATTCGTCTCATGTACTCAGGAATTTGTCAAAGGATTTGTGCAAGCTAAAGGAAACTACATTTATGAACTTCAACTCATTCATACAAGACGCGAAGTGACGCAGGATTTGTTGTGTTCGTCGTAAAACTGGAAAACAAGTAACCGACAAAAATAGACAGCTAGTACCTTAGAGGAGTGCTTTTACCTATGATTAAATGTATGGTGTTAAATTTCAGCTAAAGTGTCTCAGAAGAATTACATTTTTTGTGGAACGCTATCTCAAAAACCTACGCTACAGTCAGGTTATTTACGGGAGGACAAGCATTTACCGAAACGCAAAGGACATTCAAACAAAAGGACAGCTCTAAAAAGACTTCTTCGTTTTCTGTACTCTCAAAGAAACTTTACTTGAGTTTAGCTGAGTTTACGAAAACCTTAGTGATAAAAGTGAAACTGTAAGTGGTTAGCCTTTTTTCTCTTAATTTTTGCCAATTGTTTGTTGAATTGAACATGAACAGAACATATTTTGACTCTGTGCTTGTTATTCATCATTTTATAAAAAGTAATGAATTAAAATTGATTGAGAAATTAATGCTGTGGAATTTTTGTGTTAATACATATATCACAAGTTTGTTAAGTGAGCTCATATCGAGTTGAACCAGACTCAAAGAGAAATTTCATATCTGCTCGCTGATCCATTATTTTGCACAGTGCAAACACCTTCAGATTAATTTAATTGTTCTCGGTTAAAACATTTTTTTGGATTTAGTTTAATCAATTGAAAGGAATGAATTTGAAATGATACTTTGAATCTGCTAAAGTTTGTGATTTGTTTTCAAAAGTAAATCTCGTGTTTTGTCGAGTATAAAAATGACAAGAAAGGAAAATGGCGAAAGGCAAGAGCTGAGTACGAATAAACTGTAAACAAAGAATAAAGAAACAAATTGCGATAACACTGGAAAACTTACGTGGTAGCCTGACCCCAGTAAAGTGATGTTGCCGTGCTGCTTGACGGCTGATGACAGATCCATCACCTGCTGTGGAGTCATCTTTACATGTAAAAGCCACAGTTTCTTTAGGTGAGGAGCGCAGCTGAGATGTTTAATTAAGCTGTCTACTCCTGCACCCAGAAGAAGATTGAATGACATGTCGAGCTCCTCCAAGTTTGGTGCTTTTTTAAATACATTGTTGATGAATAACTCCACAGCAGGTGATAATGTTAGATTGATACCACAGAGTCTTAATTTCTTCAGTTTGTGTGTTACTTGGATGCTCCTCAGCAGAGACTCTGTTACCTCAGCATCGTACACTTCAACGCCTTCACCCCAAACCTCTATCACGTGTGGAGCGGTGATAAACGGCCTCATCTCAATCAGCTGTTCCACTTCCGACCTGTTCACAACAACAGCTTTAATCCTTCTAACCCTGGAGAGACCATGACGCTTTGAACAACAGCTGCTGCTGCTCTCTTCACTTGACTCATCACCATTCATGTTTGTCTTCGTTGTTGTCTCTTGTTTACTTATTAGCGCCTTTATTATATCACAAGGAAAAGGAATGCCTTTTTCTTCATTTTCAAAAATTTTAGCTAAATAAAGGTGAGTGTTGTTTTCTTCTTTCTTTAAAAAAAATTCATCAATCTGACGCCATGTTAAGTTGCTTAAAAATTCTGATGCTTTCTTTTCTCCTGCAGAGCTAACAATAACTGCGTTTAATTGTTGTGTTAAAATGATTAAATTACTATAGTCCTGTTCTGTATAATCGTTCTCACTGTTTAGCATATCAAAAAAAAAGTAGTTGGGTGTTTTTTCGGTAGTTTGAACTAATTTTTCCTGTACGACAACATTTAGCTGCTCCGCATTAATTACAAGAACTCCTCCTAAAGAGGAAAGAAACGTAGGAAAGAGGTTTTTTCTTGTCTCAGCTGAGCAGTAGAAAAATAACTGATTACAGTGAGTAATAAAATCTGTTTGTTCGTACGACAATTCCTTATGTGACGGTGTTTCGTTGTCAAATTTCAACTCTTTCAGTCCGCCAAAGTGAATCACAATCTGGCGCGCGGCCTCTTCTGACAACTGAACAGCAAATTGTAAAACCTCCATCATCTCGCGGATCTTTTCAACTGAGTCCAACTTCAAGAGGGAATTTGTGCTTTCAGCCTTTCTATATGTCAGCTCTTCTTTCAGGAAATTCCCAGCCAGGTATTCTTGTACGGATTTGTGAATAAAGTACACGCCTTTTTCACGATTCAAACTCGCCATATTTAAAACCTGGAAAAGGCCGACTTCAATCAGCCTCTCGATCAAACTGTAGCCAGCAGGTAACTGACTAACAGGGAAATAAAGCTGGCCTTGCAAAAGGGCTTCAAAGGCCAATCGTCCTAATGCGTATAATTCATCTGAGTAATCTTTGGCAGAAACCGATGCAGCAGACTTTTTTTCACACATGTGATCAAACATGGTCGTCATGAACTGGGCGAAGATGTCTGCGCGTTCCTTTGGTAGTTTTCCGCTTGTTGTTTTCGTCCAGAGCAAGCACAACATTAAGAGAAGTAGGGGAATTTGTGCTAGTTCACTTAGGTTGTGCTGCCATAAGTACCTAAAAAACTCTTGAATATCTTTATCATCTTTCAAAAATCTACGGGCGAACTCTTCTTGGCGCTGATAATTAAAGCCGTCAATTTTGAATTGAGCATCACTATGATTTCTTAACGTCTCAGCTTTCATTTCCCTTGAAGTAATTACAACACAACAATCTCTTAATTGGCTTTTTTTCCAGATTTTGAAAACAGGCGACTCGTTTTTTGAACTGTAAACATATTCATCGTAGCCGTCCAAGATAAGTAAGACTTTTTCTTGATGGCAACAAATGTAATCATACAGGTTGTGAACGGAAATTGCACCTTTACTATCCAGCACTTCAGAAGCCCTCAGAATGGCCGGAACATCTTGGAGATTACTAACATCACGTAATCTCACCAGAAGGACAAGATCAAATGCTCCTAATGTTTCTGAATATCTCTGCTGGGACCAGTCAAAAGTTGCTTTCTTCGTGAAAACAGTCTTGCCGATACCTAGGTGACAATAACAACAAACTGTCAAAAGATTTGTTTTACTTGAAGCCACGTGAAGTGGAATCTGAAATATTGAAATTTCAATTGATAATTTTCATAAAACTTAAAGAGGAATTATTTATTCTATAATTTAATTTTTAACGGAATTATGTTTAAACTTTTTGTATCATTATGCAGAGTGAGTAAGATTTCGGTGGCCTTAATTTTGCCTCTTAAGTCATGTCAAAAAGATGTTTCCCTGCTTCTAAGGGGGGATATTGGAATTCTTAGCTTTGATTAGAGACTATAGTTATAACATTCATCAAAAATGGTATCTCAATTAATGTTCAAAATTATTCATGATGAAGACAATGGAAATAAATCCTTCTTAAAAGGGTTAGCGCAAAATTTGAATTCAGATATGAAAGCTTAAATACCAAATTTCAGTTTAATTCTTTTTGTCTAAAATTTGATGATTAGATCATCTAAAAAGAGTAAAGAAAAATCCAAAAAAATGCTTTTGATAATTAATTAACAAAAAGAAACCCAGGTTAACAGTGGCAGATCCAGACCTTCAGATAAAATTTAACCCCAGCTTGCAAGCACTGATCAGCCTTCAAGCAACTGGGCCAAACTGCTGCCAGTCATCAGTCTATTGTGAAGCTTTTGGTGCGATTTTATCCTTGGAAGATTTCTTTTCAGTTTATTCTTTTAGCTCTCGGCATTAAATAAACTTGAATTTTAGATAAAATTGAGTCACAATATTTTAACCATTATTACGACACTATTGGAGCCCAGAGTGTATGTCATGATTGCTGTAAAGCCAATAAATATATTGTTTATTATCAGTCTGATTAACTTTTATTTTATTTATAACAGCAACAGACCAAATGTTTCATTTGGTTTGACAGAATGCATGGTAACAATCTACCCCACTTGGAATGTACAATATGTCAGCAAAACACTGAAGAAACCTGCACATCACTAGCTGATACAACGCATTTGCTAACACCTTGTGTCGATTAATTTAATGCCAGTAGACCAATGGTTTCTGTGTTACTGTTATTTGTATGTGATTTTTGCATGTACTTATATTTTATCCTCCTGTGAGTTAAATAAGACAAGTAACTTTTTTACTTCATTCCCTCACTTACCGGGTTGTCCATAAACCAAAATTCGCTTGGGTGCACGACGAGGTTCTCTGTCAGCAAAAATGTCAGTGTAGTGGTTAAGGTTTTCTTGAATCACTCCCCTGGGTGTCCTGTCATCCATAATCCAAGACAAGTCTGTGTAAATCTTGTCAATATCAACAGCAGAGTTCTGGTCCCATGGAATGATTCTGACTTTACTACTGGTTTCATAAAGTGATCGCAGCTGTTTCTGGCACTCCTCAAGGCGTACAGAATCTATTATCAAGAATTTTTTATCATTTCCAAAAAGTATTTTTTAATAACTACATATTTTTTTTACTAGAGGGGTGGACAGTCAATTTGCAGAAATATCATGGATAAAATATTTAGCTCTTATTAACCGAGCGGGAGGTCTGTATGGGAGAATCTTGACCGAGGTCGCCAGTATAGATATTAGTACAGACCCAACGCAGTGAGGTCTGTACCAGCGACCGAGGTCAAGATTCTCCAATACACACCGACCTAGCTCGGTTAATAAGATGTTTATTATATGGCCAAACAAGAAAGCAAAGGAACAAAAACATAAATAATTATATTTGCTTCCCTGCGCGGGCTCAACCATGCATTTAGCTGGCTTTCTTCTGTCACTGGTTTCCAGTCCAAACGGGACAAAAATAACTGTTCAAAGTCCAGCTTTGTACAAACTTCGTCAATGAATGAAGACAAAATTTTTCATACAGGCTCAACGAAAAAGCTTGTGGTTGAAAGAACAATTTATGAAAAGTGACCAAAAGTGCTACTGCAATGTATGTAATGCCTGTTTGTGTCTCGATCGTTCAGCAATCAGTTGTCATTCAGCCTTGCGATCTTCGACCGATCACCACTGAAAACGTTGATGTTAAATGTGCAACCTTCGAACTTGTCAATATGCGATCCGGCAAAAATTGCCTGAGGCTGGATTTGTTGGACTGTGAAGACATTTTGCTCTGTTGTAGTGGAGGTACTCACTTGGTTTTCTTCGGACTGAGCGGATGTACCTGGCCCACGATTCAGGATAGCAGACATTTCTAGCTGTCGCTTCAGAGATGCTGAATGGTGGCTGTTGAGGCTTTTCAAATTTTTGTGACCGCTTAGCTGTGCAACGAAGTTTGGCTGAACGTCTGCTTCGAGAAGTCGTCCAACACTGGTCTTTCTAACGGAGTGATTAGAAACCTTCTTGTTTGTGTCATCGAGTTTGGCTGCAGCAAACGCGTCTTTGAGGAACTTGCCAATTTCTTTCTTTCCGAGGGGTCTGTCGAGATACCACACTTTGTCGTTTGAGTAGTGGACTATGTTGAAAATTAACCTCGTTGGTGCGTTCCCTTTGCGTTCCGTGTGCGTTCCCTTAATTAATATGTATAAGGGTCGAGTCTATGACGTCACCGTTGTTTTATCCTAGAGAAAAAAATGCGTTCCTCCGTATTAATTTAAGTGCCTAGTCAGTGTCTTCCTGCATACTAATTCGGTATAGGTTTACTAATGAGCGTCACTCTACTACAATAGAAAATAGGCGCCCGTTAAGTAACTTGAGCCCGGTTTTCGGACCGTCTATTAAAAGGAAAATAAGAGCGATCACCTAGCAACGCGAGAAACGGTTTCCTATATCTTATTTAGCGCTAAAACTCGGATATATATAAACAAAACATACACAAATTGGAGCTGAAAACGCTTTATTTCAAGTTTGTCTGACTATTACAGAACTGTTTTCTCCTTTCTATTTAGAGGAAATGAAAAACTATTGAAGTCTTGTCATTTTCACGCGCTGTTAATCAGTTAATTATGCGAGTTCACAAGCCCAAAGTTGAATACAAATTAGCTCTACAGGAAAAACCTCAAGGGAGCAACCTTGACGTATTATTATAAAACAAATAACTTAACAAGGATCAATTAAAACACGCGACTCATAATTGCTAGCAATAAAAACACAAGAGAGATACCGTTTTAAAAAACTTTATTAAAAAACAATGACAAAAAGAGTCAAATACACAGGAATGGAAATTAATTAATCTTCATCTTCGTTCTCCTCTGTAGAAGGGGAATAGAAATTGGTTTCCAACGTCTTCGCGTTTTTGTGTGTAACTGCTCCGCAATCGTGACACCGAAGAAAGCCCTCTTTCATGTAATGTCTCCCCTCGGGAATCTGGTGATCGCATATAGGACAAATCTTGTAGTAATCGTGCCAAAGGCATTTAGGACATTTCATGATCAATGTCCCGTACACATTAGAGTTTTCGCAGTGTTCACAGGGACTTTTGGAGTGAAAGGTGGTGGACGTTTCAGGGTTACTACTTTCTATCTCCTGACTGTCGTTTTCAGTGTCGTTGTCGCTCTCTTGGATGCCTTCAGCTTCAGCGCCATTCTCAGAAGAGGGTCTCAATGGGGTTAACCGATAGGCGTAAAACGGCCAAAAATTTAGTCGATAGCCGTAAAAATTGAAAAATTTTAACCGTTAGCCGTAAATAGGGTAAAAAAGAGTTAACCGTAAAAGAAATTGTTACCTAGATTTGCTACTTTTAGGGAAGGTGCTAAACTTACTTATGATTACGTTTTTTACTTCCCGGCTAGTGTGACTCCGTACGCACGTTAGGCAAAGCGCCTTTTAGGTGTTAACCAAGACCTAGGCACACACTAGAGCTAGAAATTGATCATCCGTCTGAGACTAGCCTGTGTACAGTCGCGCCCTCCCCACAGACACCCCTTCTCCGATTTTTCTGCGGGGGAGGGGGCGGCTGTACACAGGCTATCTGGAGCGGATAGTCCCGTCTTCAAAAGTCAGGCGGATTGTTCATTCAAAATTAAAACTATTCCATTTTCAGATTAAGACGTATTACCTATCTGACGCGAATCAACAAACGGATAACCCGTCTCACACGAATAATCCTTCTCTAGTGTGAAAACGGCCATTTCTGTTATAATGAATGTCGCGCCCCGGGCCTTGAGTTGGGCGTTTGCGTGTCTGCTTTTGCTTTTTCACGAAGATTATTTTTAAATTGACTATTGACATTTCTATGTGTAAAATAATGTATTAGAAGTGGAATACTTTATAAAAAGTATTCAACCTTTTGATATATAAAATATTAAACTTTTTCAAAAGAATAGCTTATTTCATCCCGAGATGATCCGAAGACCTTTATTTTGATTTAAAGATACAAAAAAATACGGGTTAATTAATATTTAACTTTTTGAAACAAAAGAAGTTAATTTTTAACTTTTTCGTTAACCGTAACTGAAAAAAATTAACCGATAGCCGTAAAAGAGCCAAAATTTTAGCCGATAACCGTAAAAGCCACCACCCCATTGGGACCCTCTTAGAAGCCACTTCCTCCTCCTGATTTTCAATATCCGATGAACTCTCCTCATTATAGGTGGTTTTCATGCAATCTCGGGAGACACAAATAACAATGGTGAAATGAACAAATGCTGGTAGACAAACAAAGGGAGCTAATGAGCGATCTTTTGTTTACCGTCCACCAGTATGGCGGCGATGACGTAACGTGAAAACCACCTATTACTTTCGTTATCGGAAGTATTTTCTACATTTTGGTAGCCTTTTTCCTTTTCTATTAAATCACTTAACAACTTTTTGTTCTTGATTAAACCTTTATCGATTCCTAACTCTGCAAGTCCATCAAGAAACGTATTCAGCGCACGAGGCTTGGTAACTTCATTGTTATGAGGGAGTAACACATACTCAACTAGCTCAGCGATGTTTGTGACGGGAATAGTGCGTTTATCTCGAAGTAATTGTCCGCTGGGGGTTCCAGAAAAGAATATCTTTGGACGCGGCCATACTATGCAGCAAATCAGAAGCACGCTGTTCCGGCACTGCTCGGGAAAGATGACTCAAAACATCTTTTATTCTTGGTTCTTCATCCTCGCTTTCATCACCAGAACTTTCGCTTTCTTCATGTTCACTCTCGTGATCTTCTTCTTCAACCAAATCTATCTTTCTCTTCATTTTGATGAGTACCCGTGACAGACTTAGCTTCGAATGAGCAACCTAGCGATGTGTCACCTCTAAGTAAATCCTAAGCTTGAAACGACAGGGGCTAATACATCTTCATCTTAATTTCCATTCCTGTGTATTTGACTCTTTTTGCCATTGTTTTTTAATAAAGTTTTTTAAAACGGTATCTCTCTTGTGTTTTTATTGCTAGCAATTATGAGTCGCGTGTTTTAATTGATCCTTGTTAAGTTATTTGTTTTATAATAATACGTCAAGGTTGCTCCCTTGAGGTTTTTCCTGTAGAGCTAATTTGTATTCAACTTTGGGCTTGTGAACTCGCATAATTAACTGATTAACAGCGCGTGAAAATGACAAGACTTCAATAGTTTTTCATTTCCTCTAAATAGAAAGGAGAAAACAGTTCTGTAATAGTCAGACAAACTTGAAATAAAGCGTTTTCAGCTCCAATTTGTGTATGTTTTGTTTATATATATCCGAGTTTTAGCGCTAAATAAGATATAGGAAACCGTTTCTCGCGTTGCTAGGTGATCGCTCTTATTTTCCTTTTAATAGACGGTCCGAAAACCGGGCTCAAGTTACTTAACGGGCGCCTGTTTTCTATTGTAGTAGAGTGACGCTCATTAGTAAACCTATACCGAATTAGTATGCAGGAAGACACTGACTAGGCACTTAAATTAATACGGAGGAACGCATCTTTTTCTCTAGGATAAAACAATGGGTGACGTCATAGACTCGACCCTTATACATATTAATTAAGGGAACGCACACGGAACGCAAAGGGAACGCACCAACGAGGTTAATTTTCAACATAGTCCACTACTCGTTTGGTTTTCGTCGGTGATTTATGGCGAGATAAAAAGGAGCGTCTGGTTCTAGCATTGCTTCGGGACGGTGACTTCGAAATGCTTTGTAAAATTCAACTGGGCATCTTGACTTGTTGTTCCTTGCGTGCGCTTTCGGTTCAAAGGCTCTTTGATGACCACCATCTTGTCCGGTACGTGTTTTGCTGCCTCTTTCTGACTTCCACACAAGGTATTCGGAATCAGTTTCAGGATCACTGGCCAATCCTACATCTCCCCAGCACAGCTTACGGCTTTCATCTCGAGCCCTCCAGCCACAATGGAGAGAAAGAAACCACCACAAAGCCCTTTGTAATGATTTCGGATCCTGAACACCCAACTGGCCATTTTCAAATAGTGCATCTTCTTCGGCTTCAGTGAGCTCTCTTGTGGCATTTGGACAGTTTCCAGGTTCTTTCGTTTGGCAGCAAGTACCTCTCTGGACTTGGAGAACTCGTTATCCTTAAGAATGTTAATCAGACTTCCTTTTCATGCAAGTAGCGTTGGAAACTTCGCTGGAAGCCGCTTAAAGTACCAGGCTCGTACTCAGTGCCATTTTGTTTACGAACGGAGATGAAAAATTTGAACAAAAGAAGGTCGAGCTCATTAGCAGGTATGTTTTTAATTGCTCTAGACTCTTTCAGTGACTTACAAAATTTTTTCCATGCGTTTAATTCGCTCTTAGTCTTGTATTGAGTGTTTTTTGATTTCTGCTCCTGCAAAAATTTCTCAATTTCGACTTCATCTTTGCTCGTAGCTTCCTCGGCAGGACTCAAATTTGCCACTGTTTGCTCGTTTTCTTTACCTGCTTCCTCGTGAAGGTCCACTGATTCTTCCATGTAGCATTATTAACAGGAAAAAGCCAATTTTTTAATATTCTTTGTTTGTAACTTTTTGAGGACAACAGTTACGACAAGATCGGTCTAGATGACGGTCTAGAAGCCGGTGTAGATGAGAAAATCTAGACCGCGTTCAAGATCGATTTTAGCCAATCAAATTCTTGAATTTGTTAGTTTCCAGTCCTTTTGAGACATGGCCATATAATAATATAAATTAATAAAAGGAAACAACACCAGGAATGACCCAGCTAGTGTGATCATTTGATAATGTCCAGTGGATTTAAATCAGCAAGCCTTAGTGTTCTTTCCTTATCTTTTAGTGGGGTTTGGTGAATGAATAGAATATACCATACCAGCAGAAAGTTTGGGAGTGGACCCCCTTCCGCAACATCACTTTCAATTAAATTGGGCAATTCCTAAATTAATAGAGGTCTTTACACATGACTCAAAGACATTGAAACAAAGGCAAAAGGTTTATTTTCAAGATTATAGGGGAATCTTGTTTCACTTAACAATGTCTGTCTCACCAAAATGAAGCCTTAGTTAATGTCCAACATTACGGGAAAACATGGGGAGGGGAAGCGAAAAGGGAAAAGTTGAGTGGTTTGTGTCACTTCTCAAAACAAAACTGAGATTAATTATAATTAGCATAAGGATCAAAAGGCAGCATGGTGTTCAATTTAAAGTACCGTATTTCCTTGAATAATAGTCGTCCCTCGAGTAATCGCCTCCCTCGAATAATCACCCCCCTTTGATGGAAATATTTAAAATAATCACCCCCCTCCCCACCCTTCTCCCCATCTTCACTTTCTTTTATCTCCTTCCTGTCAAGTTGAAGTGGAATCTGATCCAGCAAAACTGATCAGTGACAATTCAAGCTCTGAAAATTACAATCAAGGAACCAAATTTGGAACACTTAAAAAGCCCATATTCAGTTTATTTGATGTGATAATTTTTTGATTTAATGGGATAATAAAACAAAATATTTAGGGTACGACTTCCAGTGAGCAATATATCGCCTCCCTCAAATGATCGCTCCCTTTTGAGGCGAAAAAAGAATAATCGCCCCTGCTATTATTTGAGGAAATACAGTATTCAGGGCAGTTTTGGTTCTTTTTGGCCAGATCTGACCAGAAAGCGGCCTGACTGGCTTCAAACGGCATTTGTCAGCAAATTTTAGGGGGAAAGGGATGAAATATCAGACAAAAAGAGACTGCTCTCTTTGGCAAAGACCTGTCTTATTGCAATATTATTTGTAAAAAAAAAAAGTGCAAAAGAGGGTGCAGATATGACAAAACAACTTTAAAAGATCAATGTTTGTATTAGTGAAACCAGTGTTCAATCATTTAATCTGGAAAAACTCGTGGATTTATAGTGTAATTACATTGACGGAATAGTACCTGGCATCTGTTTGTCTGGCTGATTCTTTGCTGTCAAGTCTGTGAAGAAAAAAAGTGTTATAAATTTGAAAACCCTTCAAAACAAATTTGACTTTTGGCCTTTGTTATTTGATATTTCAATATCAATGTATGTATCAGTTTCAAACAGAGAGAAAAACTTGAACCATTGGGGGCATTTAATAGATAGGAGGCGTTTATTCTTGTTAGTTTAACGAACTCAAAAAAACTTATACAGTATGCTTTCGGTGAAAAGTCACTTCATGTACTGATATTTGCAGGCCGTGGTTTGACAATCGTTTTCAAGGAAACTATTGAAACAGCCAACATAAAAATAATTATCTGAACGGAAAATTCATCACTATTAATAATTTATTTATTACCGCTCATTACAACAGGGATGTCGCATACCTTCATAGTGGGGCCATTCTTTAAAAACAACTGGATCATTTAACATGTTGAACACAAGAGAAGCTGCCATGATGGAAGCAAATGACTTCCAGGACTCGTCAGGAGTGTTGCTATCATCAGAAAAATACGATATCCCTTTAACAATCACCCATTCAATGTTCATATCATGAGCTGCAGCAAACAGTCCTGTAAGTAGTAGAAAAACAGACCAATAATAAGATGATTCTTTGCTGCCTAATTGGCTCTTACTTAAAGCTTTGTCCAATCCTTTGTGAATACGCAAGAATCTAGCAAAGCTGTAAATTTTTCTCTGCAGTGTAATGACTAAATTTTATTGTGTTTTAATAAGCTTAACAATTTATGTTCCCTTGCAAAATATGTAACTTGGGAACTACTTCTCCAATATTTTAATGTAAACACATATTGGTTGACGTATGAATTATAATACCATAAGAGACCTGTTTGCACCCTATAATTGATCACTGACAACATTGCCAACCGTGGTCAACAAACCAATAAAGTACTGTGATTTTCCATGGTCATAAGCTGTTGCCGAAAAGGACAATTTATTTAGAGTTCTACTCTGGACCTCAGATTGAATGCTACGCATCAAATTGTTGCAATAGTCAAATATGTATATAGCCTTACCTTCCCCTTCTCTTTCAACTGCAATCACGCGAGATTGAGACATACGGCGTTGTTTAGTGATGAATTGACTACCACTGAATATGTCACTGTCACGGTGTACCTGTACTGTTTCTTCACCTACTGGATCTTTTAATGGTGGATTCCAGCCTTCAGTTGAAAACAAGTTAAGGTTGCCAATATTTCTCCTTACTGGAGCTGTGTATTGTTCAGTTGAAAGTTTAGAGGATACCACTACATCTCCTAGTTTGGTATTTTCTGGGTTTATACCCTGGCAGCTGCCAACCGAAAATGCAGCCTTGGGTCTCAGTTGCATCACTGCATTTTTAACAACATTGTGAGAGCCACCTGGACCAGAAGAACCTTTATAACATCTCATTAAAGCAACTGTCAGTGCGTCTTCTCTGCCTTCACCCACGGTCCCAAAGTACACGAATCCCAGATTCTGGTGATAACTTTTAAAGGAATTTTTCAAGAAAGCATAACAGGCTAAAAACTCGCAGTCTTCTACTGTCAACAAAAGAATGTCAACAGGAAGCTGGACATCACTCCAAGGGTTTGACTTGTTTGGAAGAGCTCTCATTTTAGGCACTTCAATACTTAGAGGAGGAGGGGCATGATTTCTTGACATCTGATGATCAGGATCAGCACCTCCTTTTCTTTTAAGGTCTTGATGCTGTGCCATTGAGTCTCAGTTAAAGATTTTCCTACGAAGTGTAAATATAATAATTATTTAATAAGATCACCACATTAAATAACTTAAACAACTAATAATGAAAAATAAATTATCGATAAATAATATTACTTTAATTTTATGTCACAGCTATATTTTTAAAGAGTCAGGCCTCCCATTCGTATGTAAGTGGACATCACTGTGACCAGGAGAAGTGATCACCTACAGGTAAAAAACAAGATGTTTGCATCACAAAGGTCAAATACAGAGTCTGTAAGTGCCTCAGTCCATGACTGCATGGTTAGTGTCCACTTTTAGAAGAGGTGTCCATCCACGGGTGTTACGAAAACTAAGACCCTCGAAAACTAAGATCGTCAGCATGCGGATGATAGTTTTTGGTTGTTTTACGGATTATAGTCTTTGAACGGTCATAATTTGACATCATGTATATTTTACGGATTGGTTTTGTAGGGGGTCTTAGTTCTCGTAATGACGAAAACTAAGAGGGGTCTTCGTTTTCGAAATTACGAAAACTAAGACCCCTAAATTTACCGTTAAATTTGACCTAAAACTCGGTGGAAAGAATCTGACAGAAGATAATTTGACAGATTAGCCCTATTTCAGTTACAATTTGACTTCATATTTCAACAGAGTTGATTTTAGGGGGTCTTAGTTTTCATAATCTCGAAAACTAAGATGGGTGTTAGGTCTTAGGTCTTAGTTTTCGAGGGTCTTAGTTTTCGTAACACCCATCCATCCACTTTACAAAGGTCAATATGCAAACAGTGTTTGTAACTTCCTGGGTCCACAACTAGTTCTTGCTATGGAAAGGGGTCCGTTTCACAAAGGTCAATATGCACTGTTTGTTTAAGTGTCTGTGGGGACCAAGCAATTTTGAGAATATTCCCACTTACGGAAGGTCAACCAAAAATACACTATTAGGTATAAGTGACCGGGGCCATGACTAAGTCTGTGCTAAGAGGAGGGGTCCATTACTAGCAAAAGTTTGACTCTACCATGAGGTTTGAACAAATAGTGATCAAGGCAATGGTTTATGTACTAGAGCATTATGCATGAAATGTTTGGAATGATAACAGCTTCTGGCACCATTCTACTCTGTACTGTAATCAATAGTATATCAATGAATGCATCTAAATCAAATATGAGGTAATGGTATAATACTCTAGTGATGCAAGAAAGCTTTAAAGCTTACAATTAATGTTAACTCCTTTTGCCATTTTAGTGCAATTAATTTAATAAACTCAGCTAAATTACCTTCTCCTTTGATAGCATCACACCATCTAACTTAATGATGTGTTTATTCAACTGACAAAATCCTGAAAGTAATAAAAAGATGGTAAAGCGTAGATGACATCAAAATATGAGATATAATCCTATTTTGAATCATGCAAATTGCTACAACAACACCATGCATTGCCACCGGGGGAGGGGGTACTCAACAAAGTTCTATGGGAGGCTCCACCCTGAGGTCCAACCCCTAAACTCTTTGAAATACCACTCTGACAGAAAAGGTACCCGTTTCGTATACCTTCTTTTGACAAAATATGGTACCCCTTTCACATACCTACAATAGTTTAGAATTTTGTATCCCTTTTTAACTGCTGATAAGGCACTTTAAGCAATTAGGTCCAATGATGTGCACAATTGGGTCTGCTTTAAAAAGAATGCATAACAAAGTCAATGCTGAAATCAAACAGGCTAACAAATTATTTTATAAAAACAAATTTAGCGAATCTGATGGCGACCCACATAAAATGGGGCAGGTCATCAATGAGCTTACTTCTCATAAATCAGGCAGGTCTTCTGTTAAGGAATTAAGTCTGAATGGAGTTTCTATAACTAATTTAACCGCTTTGTCAAACACTTTCGATGATCACTTCTCCACAACTGGCCCGAAACTGGCTTGCAAAATACCTTTAAACAATGGTCCCAGTTTTCAGGAATTTTAAATATCTCTGGCATTTAAGCGAAAGATTCCAAATTCATCCCCACCGATAGTAATCAGGTGTTGTCTCTTTTTGAAAAACCGAATAAATCTAAAGGTGCTAATCCAGATGGAATATCTAGTCAGCTTATTATAGATTGTGCTGGTTTAATGGCACCTCATATTATTTCAATTACATTTAATAGTTCTTTAGCTAATGGTATATTTCCTGAGGACTGGATTAGTCCGCAAGGGTTACTCCTCTATTCAAGTAAGCGGCGAAAGATTAGCGACATAGACAATATTATCATCAACTATCAGTTATCTCTATAACTGGCAAAGTATTTGAAAGAATTATCTATTATCAACTCTTTGCCAATTTATCGGATCATAATATTTTGTCTAAGCACCAATCTGGAATCCATGTGCTACATTTAGCAGTTACAGCCTTTAATTAGAGGCCTGTAATATTGATATAGGTAACGTTAAGGTGGCTCGATACAGTTTTCCAGGGCCAATACCTCCCAAGTTTGAGCATAAACTACGCCGCCATAAACAAATAAGTTTTGAAAAAATTGCCACCACAGTTGTACTAGATAAAGATGAAGATTTGTTGTGATCAGGGTTGCAACGACATCGGAGTTGTCATAGCAACGAAATGAAGCTATTACCTATTTTACTTACAGCAGTATATATCGGCACTGGGAACTGTTCTTCCAAAATCATTCACGGGAGCTTTTTCCTCCAATATCCGCCTTGATGTTCGTGAAGTTTAAGCGAAATCTGTAAGAGCATTATCGAGATATTTTGGGATAAAGATTTTGTGGTTAGAAATACGATAAAAAATGGACAATCTCTATGTTCGCCTGTTATCTGTAGAAAACGAAGCGCCTTTGACATGTAATTTCACCTGATAGTAGTTTCAATCTTTTTAAAAACGTGTGTGAAAGATCATGGAGATAGCTTCCGGCCGATTCCTAGAAAGAAAGATTTGATTAGTATGTATTCAGGCGCGGTTTTTGAATATTTTGGTCTACTTTAACAAACTAGCAAATAGTTTTAAATTTAAGATTCTTAAGATTAACCTTCCTTTTATATGACCTTTTAGTTTCAAGATTATTGATATATTGTAAGGCAGTAAAATAAGGGCTACAATTCGCTAATATTTTGGCTGAAATTTTGTGTTTACAAGTGTGAGCCTCTCATTATTGAGGGTATTGTCTCCAAGTTTCATATTTTCGTGCACAACAATAGCTAGCATTTTTGCATATGTCAAATGCATTGTTAGTTACTGCTGTTCACTTGAAAATGAAACTTGGAGACAATGCGTTGAATAATGAGAGGCTTTCTCTTGTAATGGCGAAACTTCCAATAAAAAAGTAGCGAATTGTAGCCGTTATTTTACTGCATTACAATCTTGAAACTAAAACGTCATATAAAAGGAAGGTTAATCTCAAGAATCTTAAATTTTTTAAAAAATCTATCAAGCAGTTTTAAAGTTATTCGCTAATTTGATAAAGAAGACCAAAATGTTTACAAAACCGCTAACAAGAGCGCTTCGATACATACTAATCAAACCCTTCTTTCTAGCAATCGGTTGGAGCTATCTAAATGATCTTTCACACATGTTTTTAAAAAGATTGAAACTACTATGCGGTGAAATTGTACGTCAAAAGCTCTTCATTTTTTACAGATAACGACCAAATAACAATATTGTCCATTTCTTACTTTGTTTCTAGCCATAAAACTTCATCCCAAAATATCTCGATGTTGCTCTAACAGATTTCGCTTAAACTTCACGAACATCAAGGCAGATATTGGAGGAAAAAGCTCCTTTGAACGATTTCGGAAGAACAGTTCCCAGTGCCGAGATGTACTGCTGCAAGTAAAATAGGTAATAGCGTCATTTCGTTGCTTTGACAACTCCGTTGCCGTTGCAACCCTGATCGTGACAAATTTTCATCTTTATCTAATACAACTGTGGTGGCAATTTTTCCAAACTTTTTTTATGGCAACGTACTAGTTTATGCTCAAACTTGGGAGATATTGACCCTGAAAAACTGTATCGAGCCACCTTAACGCTGTTGCTTTTCTTGACCTTAAGAAAGCGTTTGAAACAGTGACGATCATGATATCCTATTGTCTAAATTACATCTTTCTAGTATATCAGGTGTTACCCATAAAATGTTTGATATCCTATTGTCTAAATTACATCTTTATACTATATCAGGTGTTACCCATAAAATGTTTGATATCCTATTGTCTAAATTACATCTTTATACTATATCAGGTGTTACCCATAAAATGTTTGATATCCTATTGTCTAAATTACATCTTTATAGTATATCAGGTGTTACCCGTAAATGTTTTTCCTCGTATTTGAATAATTATACTCAGAAATGTCTTGTCAATGGTTCCTTTTCAGAATGTTGCACCGTCGAGTGTGGTATTCCCCAAGGAACAATATTAGGGCCTCTACCCGTACTGTTTTTGCTATATATCAATGATTTGCTCAATGTCTGTTTCATTTTGAACTTAAAAGAATGTATGTTGATGATTTTTATATACCCATCGGACGTATTTGAACGGCAATATCCACTCCATTCAGTCTTTCCTGAATGAAGACCTGCTCAACATTAAACGCTGGCTTATCACAAATAAACTAACGTTACATATGACTAAAACTGAATTCAAATCAAACGGTTCAAGGCAAAAGCTTAATAATCTACCTTCTCTGCCTTCCTTAGATATAAATAATGTTCCGATCAAACATTCTCACTCCTTATAAGTCTCTTAGCATGTTTACTGATGAAAATCTAACATGTGAAAACCATGTTGACACTGTCATATACTATACTAAAGACAATTGCATCTGCTAACCCATCAATCATTGTTTGCCCCCTGCCACCTTGTATGCTGTCTATTATGGCCGCCAATCACATTTTGACAACTGCAGCATGCTATGGGGTAGCTCGCACGCCTATAGGGTATCGACCACAACCTCCTCCTATAGGCCATTATAGGGAGTACCCCACCCCACCTCTTGCCCCAAGGGGCAATTGCCCAAAATAATTATTTGGTTCAGAGATATGTCATATCTACATCAACACACTAATAGCAGAGGTCACAGAGAATATAAACTTACTTTCAGGATAACTTTAATCTTGTGTTATCAGGTGGTGACATCTTCAGAATCTTGGTAGCTGGTCTACAAAACTGAAAAAAATATCATGCACTCAACACCTTTTTACGTATAAAGGAGTAATGTTAATATTTCTGATTCTACCTCAAATAACACAAGTGATCCCTGCAGTTACTTCTTCTCCTCTTGCTTTTTTGTTTGACCTACATTTCACTACGATTCCACGATTTGACTGAAAGAGATACCAAATGGTCTTTGCGAGCATAATTTGGCGGCTCACAGCGGCAGTAGTGCATAAAAATGTAGTGATAAAACTTGTCGTACGAATCAGCATCAAACAAAAATAACATTTTTCCACCTGCAACAACCATTTTTTACAAGAAAATGCCTATTAATAAAAGTAATCTTAACAAGCTTAAGCTTACCTTTCGCAGATGACCGACGTTCAGATTTCACTGAGTGTTCACGATCACATTCATATGATCAGTGCACACGATCTAGAAGAAAGAATGTATTTCATTATAAATAATCAGCCATATTGTTAACTAGACAAACTGTAAATGTTAACCAAAGGGAGAAAGACCTGAACATGTAACTTACATGTAAATCAGGGAGGGAAACTTACCTTACAAACAGACTGAAACAGAACACTTCTGAATCCCGGATATCTTGATCTTCGGAAATCTTCACTTTGAATAGCCCCAGTGCCCGCTCGGTTAAGCTGCAAAAAATTCCTTGTTTTAGCGGCGCGCGCAGAATCTTGTGGATCACATATTTTAAGCTATCTATTTTGCAAAAAAGCTGTTCAGAAAGCTCTCTCTTGACAACTAATGTAAGAGGTCCTTGAATTCAGTCCTCCCGTCCTCGACACTTCAAACTTTCTGTGAAACGAGCAGTTGACAATAATTCTTATATCAGGAAAAATGAGAAGCGGCTTTTAAATACAACTCAAGTAATACAAACACATGATTGTATTTATATAAAGCGTCAGCCCCGGGAATACACTTTAAAGAGTTTTATACTGACCCGATCAAGTTTTTTTAGTCCGTTAGTTTGTTAACTACTCTTCTCTTGACAAAAATTTTGTATCTTGAACGTAATCATATATTCTTAAAGATCTGAAAAACCCGCCCAGTTTTCAGAAGACATCAGAAGTTTAACCATAAACCAGACATAAACGTAGGAATTGAAATCATACCTTGATCAGTACTTGCTTCTGGCTGCCTGATTGTAATGCACTGCAAGATAGCCTGTAACGAAAAAAACACTCTTTGATCTTTTACACTAAGTGAAAAGCAAGCTACTGACGTGATCATATGGTGTCGAAATCTCGCAGCCTGGCATGACTTTCATCTAGGAGATCTTAAGCATATTTCTGAAAGGGGAAAATTTTGTCATGATGAGATGTCAAGTAAATCATAGTCATGAATAAAATTGTATTTCATGTGAGCGGCTTTCCAGTGACTTATTCCTGTTAGGATCTGTTAGTGAATTTTATAGATCACTGTTGCATACTGTATGATTGTGTCATTGATTCTTCAGATGATTCTTCGATAACCACAGCCGCTAGCTCATGTACTTGTAGTCTGGTTAAATTATTCTCTCTAAGTAAAAACCTAAGAATGTATAATGTAAAATTAAAAACGGGGCTCTCTCCAAGTGCAGATGATTACAGCATATCTGAACCTCAAAAGAAGAGAGGAACGTACGCGTTTAAGCTGCTTACTAATAAATACTAAATCGGAGCAAACTCGACAGACTTTACTTCTTTGCCCAAAAATACAGATTCATCTATTCTTGAAGAAACAGGGAGTGTAGACTACGAGTAGTCCCCCATTTTTCCTCAGGGATAGTAGAGCGAGCGAAACGCGAGCGCGCATGAA